CAAGCACTTTGGCAACAGTGGGAAGGAAAAACTCCCTTTTAACAGGAAGAAACCTCCGGCAGAACCAGGCTCAGGGAGGGGCGGCCATCTGCTGCGTCAAAGACCTCTGCAGTAATATAACTGGTAGTCAGGCTAGCGAAGATAAGTAGCCCATGGCCTCAATAAGGTGGTGGAGGATTCCATAGAGTGGAGCGGATGAGCTCGAAAAATTTGGAAGAAATTGCAGGAGAAGAGATCAAAGGAATTTCAAAATTACGAAAGACCTTGATAGATGATTAAGGGGAACCCTTCATCATGTAGCAACATGACTTGACTCGGAACTGAAGCTCTAACAGTGATGTATGCTGGGATTTTGAGACTTGAAGTAATGTCTTGAGGGGTCATAAATGCTTAAGTGAGCTTGTCTTGGGGCAGAAGATGGAGAGGGGATGCCTGGCTGGTTAATTTGCTTTGGGTAAGGTAGCAATAACTACTGTGCCGATTTCAAAAGGGACGCCTTGAGGAATTATGCATATGGTGGAGTTCAGATCTCTTAAAAGGAGCAATAGAGGACAGAACCCGGCATCCCGGTGCCACAAGGGTTTGCTGCTGCATTCTGCACAGGAGGGAACAAAACGGAGAAACTGTCATCCTGGTGTGAGGAATGTTTACTGCTGTGTTTGCAAATGACTGATATGGTGAAGGAGACTGGGCACCCGGTGCCAGGAATGTGCACTGTTAGATTTTGTGAAAGATTGATAGATGCAGGGAAGCTGGCATCCCAGAAAGGAAAGCTTGCTGCTACATTTGTGACATAGGGATAGAGTGAAGAGAAACTGGCATCCCGGAGCCAGAAAATGTTGCTACTTCTAATTGCAAAGGGGGGACAGTAGAGCAAAAAACTGGTATGAGAACTTGGCATCCTGGTATCAGGAAGTTTTTTGTTTTTGTTTTGTGCAAACGACAGATGGCAGACAACTGACATCCTGAAGGCAGAAGGGTTCCCTGCTGCTTTTTGCAGTGATAGCTGCAGAGAAGCTTATTGCTGCATATCAGTGACAGAGAAAGAGAACCTGGCATCCCGGTGCCAAAAGCTTGCTGCTGCATTTGCAAATATGTGAAGAGAACCAGACATCCTGATGTCAAAAGCATTCTGCTTTGTTTGCAAAGGAGGGATAGAGAAAGAGAACCTGGCATCCTAGTGCTATAAAGCATGCTGCTGCATTTTGTGAATGATGGATATAGAAAGAACCTGGCATCCCAGTGCTAAAAGGGTTTGGTGCTGCTTTTTGCAATTATAGAGGTTCAAGGTTCAAGGTTCTTTATTATTTGTCACATGCATAGTTATACAAGTATAACACACAGTGAAATGTAGCCTGACACGCTCCTCG